GTCATCAGATAAAACCTCGGACAAATTTTATGGCGTGGTCATCATTGGGGCAGGAATCGCTGGACTTAGTGTGGCGGAGACCTTTACAGCAGCGGGCTTTGAGGACTTCATAATTCTGGAAGCTAGTGACAGGTACATATATAAAGATCCATGGGCTTAACACCTTCCTTTCTAACTTCTTTCTTACTTATACCTATTACTTTCCTTATTGTTGCAGTAGTGTGTTGTTTTTACTTAAAAGTATCGAGAACCTGCCGGCAAAATAAATAACCGATCTTAGAAACATGAACTGTCTCCCAAATTCCAGCCCATCAGATTTTTTTCAACGCTGAAGACATCCTAACACAATCTCGTGTATGTTATACGCATTGAAAGTGTGAGACAGTCTACAGCTGATGTACCTGAAAGGCCCCATTCAGAATAGGGAACTAAATAGGGAACTAACTCAAATATGGCGACCCACGATACAAAATTTGCCGTCCAATCCGCTAATAGACACTGAATAGTGGGTCGGCCATATTTGACCCTTGGACTAATTAGTCCCCTATTCTGAACGGGGCCAAATACTGTCGTCTGCAAATTGAAACCGAATTGGGACGCAGGTTAAAACCAATGCGGTTTATAAGATATATGATTAGATTGACGTTCAACGATGCTTCCAAAGTAGAAAAATCCCATACTTTATACGTTGTTAAGTATAAACGTAACGCTGTAACGAACATGACGGTCCGTGTAACAGAAAGTACGCCCTCCATTTAGTAATAATTGTTAGGGTTAGCCTGACCTTAGTGGGTCAAAATCTAGGGCAAGGTTTACGTATACAAATGAAGAGGTAACGGACTGTCTATCATGGGGGACTCTGTCACGTTACACCGAAAAAAAAACTTAGTTTGGAATTTAGACTGGGTTCCTATAAATCTATTGTACTAGCAGGATGGATCTAACTCCGAGGGGATTCTCGCTAAATTGCGATCAACTTAAGCGGCTTAAATGTCTGTCACGCTTAAACTAAATGCAATTTAGCGAGAAACCCCTCGTCGATAGATGAATCCTGCTAGTACGGTAGGGTATGGGAATGGTCCCTTAAAAAGTCCCGTCTTGAAATCTAGTCGCTTGAGACCAGGTAATGACCTAATATAAGTTTTAATTTCTAAAGGTTGGGCATTCTGATTCATAATGGAAATTTGCTTAAAAGGAGGGACGCTTTTAAAATGTCCAGCAGCAAATTAACAGATTTTTTGTTCTATACGTATGCACGAGCTTTGTCAGTGTACTCGTTGCTGACTGAAACCCGGCCAGTACAGTCAATATTTCCTATTTTCTTAAAATCTTAGACGGGGCAGGCAATATAACCACGGTAAGGTAGCAAAGTAAGAGCCGTAAGTAACGAATAACTGAACGGGGTACAAATTATGTAGATTTTGCATGCTCGATTATTTCGCGTTGTTGTTAACTTTGCTTTCTCTTTCTATCAATCCGTTAATAAGTCCAAGTCCTACGACGGATTTTAAGTAAAAATAGATAAAAGAAATACACGCGGAAGTTGGCAGAAAAACTTTCTCTAATTGTTCTTTATATGGAGCGGTAACAGCACGTATCTACATCTACATCAAGACTTAATAGTCATTTGAAGTTGAAAGAAACGTTGTGGAATCAAACAGTATAAGAAACGATGGATACCATGGGCCACGAGTCAAATCAAACAGTGGAAAAAACTTGTGTGCCCTATACAAACCATCTGAGGCGCCATCTCTTTCTCTCCCTCTCTCTCTCTCTCTCGCTATCGAGAGGCGACATCTTATCTTTCTCTCTTATCAGCCGCCCCTTTTCTCTCTCTCTCTCTCTCGAAAGATAAATATTAGCACTGATATCTTGTGGAAGGGACTTGTGGATGTTCTTTTTCACCCATCCTCGAGAGAGAGAGAGAGAGAGAGAGAGAGAGAGAGAAGCAGGCGTATTATTTAATCAGTGGAAATATAACTTTATTCCAATGATGAACTCTCAACAGGATTGGCGGCAGGTGTCATACTGAAGACTTCGGAGGCTCATTTGTAGAACTTGGTGCCAACTGGATCCATGGCACCACTTCAGAGAACTCCATCATGGTGCTGGCAGAAGAGAATGATTTGGCCAATAAACAAGAGCTGATGAACTGGTGACTACTTATGTTTTTTTATATTAGCGCGGGCATGGCGGATAAATGTTGATGTCAAGATATTTGTAAAGAACTTGTGGATGTTCCCCTTACCAATCCCTCTTGACTTTCTGTAAAGGTTTTCCTCGTGCGTTCGGTAGAGGCTTCCAAATAAATCACTAATTGCAGGGGCGGATTGAGGCCGCCTTCTGGGTCTTCCGGAAGACGGCCAGGTTTTTAAGTTTACATTGACGGGTATAAAATTTTTTTCTGTCGGAAGACGGTCAAAAATGGAGGATGGACTAACAAAGATAATTTGGAAGACTGTCAGAAAATATCTCTGGATCCGCCCCTGAATTGTACATTTCCAAAAGCATCTTATGTAGGTGGAACAGATGATTGGTTAAAGTCATCAGTATTTTATTACTGTAAGTTTTCAGCTCCATTTTAAAGTTGTGTTGGTAACTTCACTAAATCTGACATTTTTACAGGTCCAAAGGATGTTTTTACAGGAGTGATGGTCGCAAAATTGATGAGGATCTTGGTGCCAAGGTCTGGGACTTCTGTATGGAGATAGATGCAGAGGCCCAAAGAATGCACTGCTGTCTTGGTAAACAAGATAAAACCATTCATACCGTGGAAGATTTTTATGTCGACAGATTACCAGAATTCCTCGAGAAATTCTCCATGTCTGACCGAGATGATGCTACGGCCATTTTCAATTCGTTTTTTAATTACCAAAGGCTAAATTTTGGTTGGGATATTGCCAAGGTACCCTTCGAATCATACATAAAGTACAAAGATATAGACGGAGGGGATGCTTTCATGCCAAAGGGTGCAAGGTCCTTGATAAGTGCCATCGCGTCTCGCTTTCGAAGTAAAGAGCGGATAAAAGTCGGCGCGGAAGTGGTCACTGTCAACTGGGAAGACGGTGGAGTTAAAATCAGGTGCTCTAGTGGTGACACCTATCGGGCAAAATGTGCTGTCGTCACGGTGTCGCTAGGATTCTTGAAGAAACACCACCAGACCTTTTTTGATCCACCTCTTTCACATGAAAAATACCTTGCGATAGATAGAATAGCGTTTGGTGTTGTTAATAAAATATTCCTCGAGTATGATCCGCCGTTTTGGTCAAAAGACACTCCGTTAGACAGTGTAAGGCTCGCTTGGGACAACAAAGAACTTGTCATCACAGACCCTAAATCACAGTGGTTCAAGAGAATATTTTGCATTGACGCTGTACGTTTCAACTCCAACTGCCTTTGTGTGTGGATTTCATGCCACGAGGGCCTCCATGTGGAGACCGTTCCCGATGAAGAGATCTCGGAGACCTGCACCATGGTGCTGCGCCAGTTCCTCGGTGATCCTACCATCCCTTACCCGTGCAAAGTCATCCGGTCCACCTGGGGCACCAACAAGTACACCTTGGGGTCATATTCATGCATGGGATTGCGGTCAAATGCCAACCACTTCAATGTTTTAGCTGAGCCCATTGAAGACAGCAATGGTCAACCGAGGGTTCTCTTCGCCGGTGAGGCAACTCACGCTGCATACAATGGGACAATGCACGGTGCACGCGAGTCTGGTGTACGTGAGGCTACCAGGCTGTTAAGACAGTTTGGAATGCTTCCTTCTCCTCGAGAACAAGTGATTGCTTTATCAGAGACCCAGTAGTGCCAAATGAAGCATACTCAAACCCTGAAATAGCTAAGTCTCGCTATGTATATAATAAAATCGGCTGTAAAATATGCCGTTGTTTTGACCACTCTGAATGGTCCGCTAGTTCATGTTGATTTCGGCACTAAATTAAATACGCAGACCTGCCTCTGATTGAATAACATGTTTTAAGATATTTTGTCATAGTGGGCCTTCTTTCATTATCAGAAGTCAGGGAACTGCATTATATAAGGTCTATAACAATTTTATCAATTATATTTTACTATTTTATACCCAGAGTTTTAATTATATCAGTTTTACTGATTCCATGTACCAATATATGGCTTTGTTTTAAATTATATTGTCCTTTTCGAAGCACTTCTTTGGCTGTCTGTCAAATGTTTCCATGAAACAGTGCTGACTTCGAATAACCAAGAAGCAATTTTAATCAATATTCTGTTTGGATTTTACTAATGGTATAAATGACTTTTGTTTTAATAAAGAAACTGATGCAAATGTTTGTTCGTAGGTTTTTCGAATATGAGTATCAGTTCTGATGCATACNTGAAGAGGTTAGTGTCAAGTTATCTCTGAAGCTCAGGGTGGATGCATAAGGCTGACGTCAACATTTTAGAATGACGCGTCATGCCCTTTTATCCACTGAGTATCAACTGTAGTATCATCCTATCAGTTCTTAAATCTACAATTAAAGGGATATTGATACTTCTCTTTCTAGAAGCACAATGCAACAAAAATGAAACTCGGAACTTTTTTACACGATACAGTCAATAACGCCATATGTTCTTCCAACTTTCGGCTGGTTGTGCTACCAGGGGGCTTTCTAAAAAACACAAAATGTTCACAGATTTATTAACAATATGCTAGAATCGTTTTTGCGGAAGGAAACAAGAGTGGATGGAGGAAGGGGTGACCGGAGATAAACGTCTACTGCGACCAGTGGTGGATTTAGAGGGGGGGTGAGGGGGGGCCTGCCCCCCCCCCTACCGAAGGGGGGGGGCAGTGAATCAGTGAATGTGCCCTTTTCTCGTCTCTCTCTTTTCCTTGGTACAAATGTTTATTTATCCTTTACTTCAAATATCAGTGCGTCTTCCTGGCACCAAACTTGGCTGTGGAGAAGGAGGATGCGGTGCATGCACAGTGATGATATCAAAGTACGACCAGGAACAGGACGAAATATTGTATCCTTACACGTTACTGTTATCTTCATGGGTCTTGCCCATGAAACCTTTAGGATATCTTCATTTTGTAAAGATTTATTTTCCCTAACTGTTGACTTGTCATTATGCATCCAATGCGTGTCTTGTTCCAATATGCTCTCTCCATGGCCTCGCTGTCACTACAGTGGAGGGGATTGGTAGTACGAAAACGAGGCTACACCCAGTTCAGGTATGGTGTGAAAAGGAAGAAGACGTACTATGAGTAAAAATGAAAAATCATCCCTGATACATCTTTCATTCAAAATCAACCGTACCGGTATGGTCAAATTGAAGTTGTATAAAATGCTTTTAAAATATCATATGGCAACTGTAAACAGTAATAAGCAAATAATAAATCTTGAAATTATACCGGTCTTCAAGAAAATTTTTATTACTGAGATCTTTCATAAAACCTTGCTTTACTTAAATTGCCATACATAAATCACAGTACGGGGTAAAGCCGTATGTTATGTTTGGAAGCTGTTTGTTATTTCTTTGATGACGATATCATTTGCCATCTAAGGAGATAATAGCCAAGTCCCACGGCACACAGTGTGGTTTCTGCATTCCAGGTATGGTAATGTCAATGTCCACGTTACTAAGGAATAAGCCAAAGCCAAAAGAGGAGGAAGTGGAAAACATATTTCAAGGTACCGACTAAAACCATGTATTCCAATCCTTGAACATCCGCGGCATAATACACAATAGTTATACATTTTAAAATTGAAATATCTTGAATATCGTATTTTCATTGCGCAGTGCCCAAAGCGTGTGGATACATGTTAGTACTGAAGATATGTAATAGAGGTACAAGCCCATTCTTTTGATAAGTAACTCTTGTCCTGTCCACGACTGATCATGCCGATTGTGATACTTATTGACAAGCTCACTGGAATTGTCATGTCATTCAGTCACACAGTTCTTGTTCCTGCCATCGAATGGGTGTGTAATTGAACATTAACCCACGCTTTTAAAACGTCGATCCTTTCAGGAAACCTTTGCAGATGCACCGGCTACAGACCTATCCTTGAAGGGTTCAAAACATTCAGCAAAGACGAACCCTGTTGCATGGGATCCAAATGTTGCAAAAACCAGACAAGAAACGAAGAACATGTTCTTGATGTCGCTGAACCATGCGACTTTGTGCCCGTCGATACGACTCAAGAACCAATATTCCCCCCTGAATTAAAAGTAAGCGTAACAATGTTTATTCTGAGAAATATTGAATTTACATTTCATCGGTCATGTCTAGTCAATTTAATCCCTTGTCGTGTCTGGTCAACTTAACCCCGTGACGAAGAATATTAAAATGCTCCGGTGTGTAAAAAATGAAATGTTGCACAATTAGAGCATTTTGCCTTTTTTTTTTACCTTTGCAGATTTCGAATGGGTTTGGGACAAAATTTCTAACGTTCAAGAGTGAGAGGGTTACCTGGTTACGGCCTGTGTTCTTGAAGGATCTTCTGGAACTGAAATCCAAATATCCCAATGCTAGGATTGTTATTGGAAACACAGCTGTTGGTAGGTGAAAAAGATTCTATTCCATCCTAATATAACATATCTTGTTACATTTTGTATTTTGTAAAGAGATTTGTCAAAGTTAAAGAGGGTTGTACTTTAATGTATTCCAGTAGGCTCCATGATAGGGAATTGATAAACGCGTTTTGATATGTAAGTTGTCAATACCTATGGTCTTCTATATATGTGGGCAAAGCGGAAAAACGTACATGGTGTTGAAGGCTTTGTTATCAAATACTTTGTCGTTAGTCGCGCCTATTACAATGTGTCTTTGTGAAGGGCATAATTTGTTATACTCTTTACCAGACTGCGTGTCGTTAATTTTGTGCAAAAGTTCTCACTGAACCTCTCTGTTTTACTGTCAAATAGAACCAATTATTTTTACCCAGTTGTAAACCCTTTGTCTTCACAGAACTTGAAACTCTGCGAAGTGCCCTCACAGAGCAGAAAGGTTTGCACAATTTGGCTTGAAAATATATGTTAATATCTAATGATATATCAATCGTTGGCCCTGGTATAGGTACGTTTGTTAGCATTTTTTGTATTCCAAACAGTTGTTTGTTTACGGATATTGTTCTACTAACCCAGGGTTGGATACAAAATACAGAAAAGCACATGCCCAAGTTATGATTGCTGCAACACACGTGCCAGAATTACATGAAGTCGCAGTGAGTGACACCGGGATCCATATTGGTGGCGCAGTTACCCTTGCGAGATTTGGCGAGATTTTGACTGAAGCCATCGAGAATACAACAGGTAGACAATACATGATGAAATGCAGTTTCAGTGTTTTTCTTTTAATACAGTATTCTATGAAAACTTTTATTCGGCTCCAAAGTGTTTGAAATTGTATACACTTTGATAAAATGGTCAACGTGAATCCTCCTTAGGACGATATGTAACAAAAATAATTCTATGAATAAAAATAACATTATTTATTAGGCATTAACGTTTTTATTAACTTTAGAAAGAGTGACCTTGGTGTATTATTTTCAATTCCACTTTGGTAATGTTGTAATCGAAACCATTGTCTTTGCAGAATACAAATACAAGGTCTTGGTAGCCATGCGGGGAATTGTTACCGGGATTGCAGGACATCAAATTCGTAATGTAGCCGTGCGTCTCTCAGATGTTTGTTTTTCGCTTCATATTGTATAACATACACAAGCATTTTTTTAGAAAAAATAACTGCCGTAAACGATAACAGATAGGCCGCATTACCCAGAAAGAAACAATACTATGTATTGGAAGAACACCCGCAACAAGATGGGTCTCTTTCGACATAATTACCAGTAAGAGATACATGTGTATGTAAGCCGACAACCTGCCCTATTTCATATATAAAAACCAACCTTACAATTGAAAATCAATTTGATTTCAGTCTTTGGCTGGAAATATTTTGTGGGCACATCACCATTCCGACCTCGTTCCTCTCTTGATGGCTACAGGATCCACGATAACCCTGATATCGAAAGGTATACATGTAATGCAGTCTCCTGTCATACCTAATGGGTTCGTGCTTAAGACGATAACTATCTTCTTGCTCGGCAACATTTTCAGTTATGGTAGGGCCTATATACTCCTGTATGTATATACCACTATTGACATAAGTGCTGCCATTTTAAAGAGAAACGTTCTATGATTTTGTGAACGCCAACAATTAAAAAATATTGATGAGTTCTATTTTTTCCAGTTACATAGGGTTTTAAGGATATTGTTACCTTCGCCAAAATCTCATTATTTACTGCCTTACACACATTATTTTGGGTAACAGATAAATCTTCTTCTTTCCTTAAGAATTTGCTTCTGTGCATGATCACAATGTATATTTCCCAATACATAATTTTATGTACATAATTAATTTTTTTTTAAGGGGTGGCCAGAGAAATGCTTGTTTAGACAACACTTTTTACATAAGGCGCGGAAATTGGAATATTAAAGCCGATGAGATTGTATTGTCTGTTTTCATCCCTTTTTCCAAAAAGGTCTGCTATATTTTTGCCTTATCAAGCTATAGAAATACAATTTGATAGTTTTTCCTAGTTTGCAGCTTGCGATAAATGATGATGCATTGAAAATGACGATTATACCGTTACACAAGATATAATGGCTTATTTATCTATATTTTGTCAGTGTGAATGTTGTTTTTGAATTAAGTCATACTATGACTTACATGTATGTGACTGCTGAAGGTGGAAACTTTTAAGATCAATTTAAAATACGATTAAATTTTTCCAGAATGAATTTGTGTTCGGATACAAGCAGGCACAGCGCAGAGAAAATGCAGCAGCAATAGTGAACGCGGGGATGAGAGTCCTGTTTGAAGATGATACCGATATTATTAAAGAAATGTCAGTTGCCTTTGGTGGCATGTCTGAAACATCTTCGTTGGCCCGAACAACATCTAGGAGAAGTGTTGGAAGGTACTGACTTGTTTTCTTAACTAAGGCCTACCTATGAAAAACTACGAGTAGATGCGGGACAGACCAATAGTAGTTTTCCGTGAAAGTATTTCACATTTTGTGTTTTGGGCTATGTTGGGTAGTTTTAGTTACTTCGAAATTTAATGCTAGGTCTACTCTTTCAGGTATAAAATTAACAGGTGAACACATATACATTAGACGGGTTTGCTTTCATTACAAAGGAAAATGTATGTTATGTATGTTATAATTTCCAGGTATCTCATCTTTGACGTTGAGGTGAAAACGTCAGAAATTTTTCAAGAGGTTTTTTCTTCTAATCATCTGTTTTGCATAGACCTACCCTGTATTTGAATTTGCGACTGACCTTTATTTAGTCTTTGCAGATATGTCAGTCTTGCTGTTTAGTTATAACAATCTTTTTTTGTTAATTTGCCCTTTCTTGTGTCTGATTGACTGCGAACTAAATTGTGTTAGAATAACCTGTAATATTTTCAGAAAATGGGAAGATCAGCTGACATCAGATGTAGTCCAATGGCTGGCGGAAGACTTCCCTTCATCACCAGAGGGCATTGGTGGTCAGATGGCCTACAAGAGAGCATTGGCTTGCAGTTTCTTTTTCAAGTTTTTCAACAGAGTGAAATTAGAATTGGTGACTTCATTCACGTACATAAAGGAATATCCCACTCAGTACTGCGTGTACAGTATGTACATCCTTTTATATTAGTAGTAATTCCTTTACTTAAAACATGCCAAAAAAAAAAAAAAAAAAAAAAAAACTGAAAGACGTCGGTGATGGCTTTAAAGATGGGTGTAGATAGACGTTACGTAATACATTTACAATATAAAGTAGGTTAACAGCTCAAGCATAGTAATGTAGTTCTGTTATACATTACCAGTATAATTTGTCACTTCAGTGATTAAGGAAGCGTTGTTATCTGTATCCACGGGCCTTTTATCATGGCGGGATATTCAAGAGTTTAATTTAAACTCTTTTGTTTTATTGTGTAACATGTAGGAGTCTGTATTTAAACCTGATACGAAATGGAAGAAGAGACTTTCGAGTAATTTTGCGACAGACTAGAAGCGAACTCTGTGGTCAGATAGTTTCCCATAAAACCCTGTAGGCCACAAACATATAAATACAGCCTCCACCATGTCAATTCTGCCCAAGATGCGATACTGTTGTATCAAGTTCAACAGTCCTTGCTCTGTGTGCGACCAAGTTCAGCAGTCCTTTCTCTGTGTGCAATGTTATTTCTGTAGTTAATGTTATGAATGGCCACTAGGTGGCACGAGAAGTGTTACCAGTTTGATCCATACACGTTAAATTGTCGTTTTACGTGATGTAATAAATTATAATCATTTATATGCAAATAGGTGATTAGAATTATATTGACGTCCACCATCAATGCAATTATTTCGCGAAACAGATAAAACTACGTGTAGCATATATTTAACAAGTCAGAAACAAAATAGTTATAAATGTTCACTATTATGTTCAGAACTACGAATATGCCGGTAGTTGCAGCGCATGCACAGAAAACCCAACAGAAATGACTAACAAGATGCAGTTAAATTCAATAAGGTCGCTAGATAATATATTAAAGGGTTTGCTTCATGCCGTCAGAATGGCCTGAACGGAACATATTCTTCAGAAAACATGCCCAACTAACGATATCTTTATCCAAATACACAAAT